GCCTTAGTTGTACTAATCACCTTTTCATTCGAGAGAATTTTTTACCGGTGAGCATTTTTTGAGGTCTCGAACAGCCAGTAGTCGCTGGGAGCCAAATCCGGCGAATACGGTGGATGTGGGAGGTATTCAAAGTTCGATTCATGTAGTTTTGCCATTGTTTCAATTGACTTGTGACACAGCGCGTTGTCTGGATGAAAAATTTTTTTTCTTCACCATATGCGGTCGTTTCTTTGCAATTTCGGCCCCCAAACGCTCCAATAACGCTATATAACATTCACTGTTGTTAGTATTTCCCTTCTCAAGATAGTCGATGAATATTACACCACGCACATCTCAAAATGCCGAGGCCATAACTTTTTCAGCAGATTATAGTGCTTTCGGACGCTTTGGAGGAGGTTCACCAGTTGCTGTATACCCAGATGACGATCGTTTTGATTCCGGATTGAAGTGATTGATTCATGTTTCATCCATCGTTACATATCGATACAATAATTACGCATTTTTATGTTCAAACATGGCCAAACTCGGCTCAGAATTATCAAGACGTTCTTGTTTTTGGTGGTCAATAGTGAGCTCGCACGGCACCCACATTGAACTTAGCTTTCTCATAGTCAAATACTCATGCAATATAAAGCCAACACGTTCTTTTGATATCTTTACAAAGTCAGTTAACTCATGCAACTTCACTTTTCGATCTTTAACAACGATTTTGTGGATTTTTTTTGTTTTCTGGTGTCAGTGCCTCATTAGAACGTCCACTGCGTTCTGCATAATAGGTGTCTCTACGACCACGTTGGAGTCAGCAAATCAACGTTCAATTATAGCTTTTGATGAAGTGGAGTCCTTATAATACTTTTCAAGATATTGTTTAACTCGAACGGTATTTTTCACCATCAAGAAGCAGAGTTAAATTGAAACACGAAGCACGAAAACACCATAACTCAGAAACTTATGTGTCGAATATCATGAAATGTCAATCCCCCATGCCCTCTTATGGGTTGAGTTTCCTGAGTTGAAATCTCCATACGGTGTCGCGAGCAAGTGTTGGTTCTCAGTGAATCTGAAAATGAGATCAATTTGAAGTCTGGTTAAGGAATTTTTATACTTACCGAAGCTGCCTGACAGCGACTCTCGGGGGTGGTCTTTGATTCTGCTTCCGTTGGCCTCCTGTATTTGCCCCTCTCTCGGAATCTGGGGTCATCCCTGTTCAGTGTGTTAGGTCGCTTAAGGCAGATTTAGACGTATCCAGTAGCTGGCGACAGTCTCACTGTCACGTGTTGTTAGCTGTTGCAGATCACGATTACTGCTTTTCATACATTAATGTTGGTGCATCTGATGGAGGCATTTTCAAGAACTATTCACTTTACCAATCATTGGAAAATGGCTTATTGCCCGAAAACGGAGTTATTGTCGGAGATGCGGCATTTCCACTCAAGCCATATTTAATGAAGCCATATTCAGAAACTAATCTCGATTTAGAACGAAAAGTTTTCAACTACAGGTTATCACGTGTCAGACGTATAATAGAGAATGCTTTTGGGATCTTAGTTAGTAGATTCCGAATATTTGAAAAGCCGATACCTACAAAGGTTGACACAGTAGATTCAATCGTATGTGCAGCTTGTGCACTACACAATTGGCTACGGAAAAAGTCAACATCTTATATCACTACAACTTGTGTAGATAGGAAAGATGAACAAGAACATGTTCTGCCAGGTTCATGGAGGAACGAAATTCAGTCCTTGCATAGTATTGCAAACCAAGGCAGCAATCATTCAGCACTTATTGCCAGAGCGCAGAGAGAAGAGTACAAGACTTTTTTCGTCACCACCGAAAGTGTTCTTTGGCAACTGAGAAGCATAAGTTGATCTTCAATACCACAATACTATCAATGTTGGTATAAATATATTTATTTTCTTGAATGTGATATATTATTGCAAAACAACAGCTTACATTCAATTGGAATTGAAAATGATGCTGGTAGAAGAATTTTTTTATAGAGATAATTCATATAACTCACCGCATTATTCCTCAAAACAAATGAAAACATAGACAAACGAAACCAAATTCATAAAACAGCAAAATAATACTGACCGAAATGAATGTTCATGTTATTATATTGTTAACGTAGAGTAGCAGTTGTAGCAATTACCTTAAAATTACCTCTTTATTTTGGTTATGCATATCCTGTAGTTTTTTTGTGAGAATGGAGGTAATAAACCTTATAATATCTTACTTACCATAGTCGTTACCATAGTCGTACTGCTACATTCTTGATAAATGCATCTAATTCATCAAACCACTTCACCTTCGGCACATAAATGCCTCCAGCATCAGACCTTGTTGATTTTTCAATTTTATTGATTTCTAAGTAGTACGTACTCCGGATATTCTTGAATTTAGTTTTTACTTCTGCAATAGTAAGTCCTTCTATCTGCATATCTTCTGTAACTTGTTTTAGCGCTGTTGTGCGCTTTTCTTTGTTTTTATACGCATCACAACGCAGATTCCATAAACATTCGTGTTCTCTATAGAGTTGAACCAACTTTAACGTTTCTAATTCACTTAGTTTCCGTATCATTTTTCACCGCAGCCACTGTTCACTCTACAGAGGTGCGCCAACGACTGTCACGCTGGACTGGCACGAAAAAGTGTTTACATGGAGCCAATTACTACGCCAGCGCTGGCGGCCAGTGAGACTGTCACCAGCTACTGGATACGTCTAAATCTGCCTTTAGCGCTGGATTGTCGTGCGCTCGAATTCTGTCAAACGTGTCCTCTGCGTGTTTTCTCATGTGTGCGTCTACGTAGTGTATGTTCAGGTCTAGATCCCGGAATATGTACCTTTTCGGTACATATCTTGAAGGCGTTTACAGCGGCCCTTACGCACGCGTTCATGAACGACTGGATCTGTTTTAGGTATGTCGCTGCGCGCTGGCCCCAGGCAGTGCAGGGTAATAGATTTTGTCGGGCAGATCTCGCCATATATTCTCTGCCGTACGTGAGACCTGAACGTTAATCTTTTGTCTAGGTTGACCCCCAAGTATCTAGCTAAAATGTCAACCACCCCCCATACCCCCTCCCGGGTTGAGTGCCCTGGAGTAAAAACTTCGCCCCACAAAATACATTTTGTGAGGAAAACTTAATACACCTCTCCATCCACCCCCGCTCTCCGAGCGGTCCTCAATCCTACTGATGGGCTAGATTGACATCTGACCTTTCTTCTATCTAAAGTCAGTCTTTAGGTGCTTATAGTTTCTAATCGGTTAAATTGCTCAATCATGACTTTTCTAACTGAATTTTTGCATGGGTTCCCCCAAAAATTAACCGGAGACACGTGTTTTTTTTATCGCGCGCGTATGTAAAATGTCAACGGCTTTCTTTTGAAATTTAGTACTAACAGTACTAAACAGTACTAACTAATACTAACTAGCGCCATATATGTGTTGTGTCCGAAACTTTTCAGCTAAGTGATGTACTAGCATGAGCTATTCGGAAAAGCTTTCCGAAAGCAAAAACAACTATTTTCCAAAAGTTAACATAATTACGTCATTTAGGTACTAGTAAGAATAATTGGAAATAATTGGGGAATAGGTGGAAAAAATCGGGCATATATAGACTAGAATGTGATGACTGTTCAGTTGCTTATATGGGCCGAACAGGCAGAAATTTCAAATCAAGGTACCGTGAGCATACATTATCAGATAAAAAATCAGCTATATACGTACTTCTTCAAGAAACAAACCATACAATGAATTATGAAAACATGAAAATTCTCCATACGTACAGTGAAGGAAGGGAGATAAATTTGTTTGAAGCATTGATAATAAGTGAATTGAATAAAAACCCCAATTTCCAAACTCTCAATGAACAAGTATTTGTAAATTTGTGAATTTTGACAACTAGTTTGAAATCCATTGGTATTTGGAGCAATAGTGTTTTTGGATCGATACTCAGTAATTTTGATAATAATAATAATAGTTTATTAGTTCTTTAGATTATGTGTAACATAATACAGAAGAAGTAATTATACTTAGTACAGTATCAGCTATAAAAAAATGTATAAGCTAAATTAATATTCAAAACATTTTTCACAAATTGTGGTCAATATAGTTATTATACTTATTGATGTAACTAAGTGCAAGAAAGCATGTAAAAGGACTCAATATAATAGTAAAAGACGACAATTATTTGTTATTGGTTCTTATGACTATTTCTTACATAATAAGGAACAAGTCAGGCGTCAGGAAACAGTTTGTGCACGCGAATTTTCGATAATACAATTAAGAGACTCAAATTATGAACAGATTACAGATCATACATAAGAACATCTGAAACCAATAAAAAACAAAGTGGTTTTATAAAATATTAAATATGAAACTATGCATGCATACATAAAATATAAAATCAGTTAAAATCTGTATCTCCCAGATACTCACTTATAGAGTAGTAAGCTTTTTTTAATGAGATATTTTGACTACTATTCTGAATTTATTCAAAGGAAGATCTTTATAGCAGTTTGGTACGTGATTAAACAAGATTATTGCCATGTAATTTGGGCAACGTTCTGTTTTTTGTAGACGGTGATTCGGCACTTCCAGGATTGCTGCATTTCTTGTGTGACATCTACTGTTTTCCAGGACTCTGAATGAGGCCAGCTCTGTTTTGGCATACCTATGTTATCGATGTTGAATAATTATTGTTTTGTTATCTCAGATAAGGTATTAATAATTCAGGTAACATTTCCGTTAATTCATGTACAAGTTCAATTAACCTACCCAAATGGCATCGACTATATTATTGTATATTTGAAGATTTATTTGCCAAACTACGTCAGTTCATTTGAGAATGGAGTACCTACCAGTTCATCGTTAAAACCTCGTTCTTGATATTTTTCGTCATGAACAACACTTGTAAAATGTTATTCACCTAGCAAGTATTTCCTAAATAATATTTTCAACAAATTAGAGCAGGTTTTGTGGTTTTCGTACACAAATTAATACGTTTACTTCCATATATTGAATCAATTCAAAAAATAAAATTTCAGTCAGCAAACAATCACATCATAATGAAGAATGGAACGCAGAATATGTTTCAACTAACTTTCCATAAATTGAAGAGACAAAATAGGTTTCACAAATATGATAGGTATTTTTATCTACATCATCTGAACAAATGGTTTGCTTGCTTTGAAAAACAAAATCTTATATTTCATCATTACTCCTGTTTCATTAGTTTTATCATTGTGACTTATAGAGAATGCTTTTCCAGACTTGATTTCTTCAAAAAAATCCTTCAAGTAGATGTTTTTCTCATTGTCAGGAATCTTCACGTATACGGGATCGAGAGCTAGAAAAAAATCTGAAAGGAAAATGAAATTGAACGAATTGTCCAGTGTGGAATTCTTAAAAGTATACATTTAAATAATTTACAAATTCTTTATTGTGAGATTTTCACTGCACAGTTTTACAAAAACGCAAAAAGTGTAACTCTATAGTATCTTACAGTTAGTATAGACCTAGTATACGGGATGTTTCCTGACTACGGTGCGAAAATTCAGAAGGTGATTTGTTGGGTCGTTTGAAAAAAACAGTTTCGAGTCGCTTCGTTTATGAGATACAGGGCGTTGGAGGTAAAAACAACGGTATTTATAAAATATCAGAAATATATTTACTTACCGCGATTTGGTTGAAATTTGCTAGAAATATTTGTAGTAACAAGGCGCTTATTTAGCCCGAACTAAATCGAAATTATTAGGTCCAGTGGCGTCTTAGTGGGCACGACAGCCAAAATATTGATAAAAAACGCCACTAACTTTTTCGTAGTTTTTTTAAATTTCAAGTTGAGCAACTAAATACAACTTTTTTGTCGCTTGTGTTTTTTTTATATCGAATTTCGTTTGCTAGAAAAAAAATCATTTCTAAAAAGTATTAACGGATAACATAAAATAAAAACCAAAAGTAAATGATAAACAATGTCGAAGTAAATGAGCAAAATGTCTACCTTCTGATGAAATACACAACTGCAATCCATTTTTCATCGATTGTCTGACACGTTCAAAAATACCTGGAGTATTCCTTATGACAATACTCAAGTCATTCACTTCTAGTACAGAAGTTTTATGAACAAGAGCTTTCAGATTCAGATAAATCTAAAGGATTCACATCAGGACTGCAAGCTGGCCAATTTTGAGGTCCTGCATGTCCACTCCAGTGGTTAGGGTAGGTGATGTCGAGATGCTGACCATCAAGAACACTAAAATGAGCTGAAGTCTCGTCGTGCATAAAAAAATCTGTCTTTCCGTTAATCAGCCGTCGCCCCCATACGAACGACAACTCTCTGAAGTTGAGAAACTTGTACGAGCTAAGGACTAACAAGGTCTTACCTTTTAACGTGTGATTCCCAACACGGTTGCAGAATCATCCCAGCTAAAGATAAATTCTCTCGAGAAAAATATCTGGTCGAGGCGGGAATCGAACTCTTCCGAACGTGAGTCGGGCGCACTACTACCGCGGTCAATTCCACTACCATAAACAACATGTTGCCTCTTACAAGTACCGGCACTTCTTATAACAAAAATGGTCATTGTGAAAGGTCATAATACCATCTTGTGGAAAATTTGCTTCGTCCGTGAATAATATATTTGGTGAAAAATTATTATTGTGTGCCATCGTATAAATCCACCACCTGCAAAAAAATTTTGGGTGAAAATCTCGAGGTAGTAGAGCTTGGACCAGCTGTATGTGATATGGGTATAGGAGGTTTCTGTTTGAACTGTCCATACGGTTTTTGGGCTGGCTTTCAGCTACAGAGCAATCTTCCTGGTGCCATTTGAAGGATATTTTTCTATCGCATCAAGTATATTGTCTTCTGGTTCATGCATTGTTACAGTTTCTGGTTTTTCACCACCTGATTTTTTTTTAAACTCCCCGTTTCACATAATCTTGCAAGTAGCGTTCTAAATGTTTCAGCACATGAAAATACTCTGTTAAGATATCTGTCCTGGTAAATCCTCCGTGCTTCTTCCGCATTTCCATTTGCTTATCCATCAATAAAGTGCATGTAAGCCATTTCAGCGTTTGAAAAATTATTCATGATGGAATCACTGCTAATCAACAACGATGACTTTCACTGCTATGACAATAGTATCACTGTCAGCTGGTATTCAAAGCAGTTGTTCATAATATGCAAAGTAGCTTCAGTTTCATTCCTCGAAAACGAAGCTAATCATGGATATTTATCATATTTTATGAATACCGTTTTTTTTTTTAACTATAACGCCCTGTATCTCAAAAACTCAGGAAATATGTTCATTTTTTTTTCTATAAACGACCTAACGAATCACCCTCTTGGGTGATTTCTAGTTTCTAGTTTATTTCCCCTAGTTGGGAAACACTCTGTATATAGAGTTAGTATAGACGCGCCTGAAGAAGCTACTGTGGGCGAAACACATTTTTGTAAAACTATTTGGTGAAAATATGGATTATGGATTTTCAGCAAATTTACAAACTAACAATTGATTTTGAAAATCAGATAATTAAATATTGATCTCATACTTATATTCTACTGTTTGTGGATGACTATAAAGCTCAAAAAGTTGCTGTTTTTCCCAAATCAGATTGGGCGATGAAAATCTTAATCTGCATTCACAAAGTTAACTATTTAAAAAGAACCTCAATAGGTATTTCGAAAAGTAGAGAGAAGAAAATTTTTAACGCTTGGTGTCATCTTGAAATTGTGTGTTCCTTTGTATAAGTAGTTCATCTAAGTGGATATATGTAATCATAAGTATGTTTCAGCCTCAAAATTAGTAATTCTAACAATATAAATCTGACTTATTTCATCAAATAATAATGTTGACCCTTGACAAAATGAACAGATAGAAATAGGCTTTAAAAAAATGTTGATTAAATTTGATTGTTGTGAAATTAATTTCAAGTTCGGCTAACGTAATTCTAATTTACTGGTTATCATATCCCGAATTATGAAAACATTACTGACTCTTGCAAATTAATACAATAAAGAATTCAATAATTTTGGGTATAGAAAATTACATTTTTCCAAATAATTATATAATCTATCTAAACTAATCTCTCTCTCTCTCTCTCTGTCTCTCTATTTTAGATGGTCGTTGCTTCCTGTCTTCAGGCGCATATGACCAATGCTCTTCCTGTTGGTTAACAGGAGCTTCGTCGGGGGGCGCAGCGGTCTTGCACGAAGCAATGCTGCCACCCATTTTTTTCGAACTTCTTTCAACAAACAACAGTAGTTTTTTTAACATAAAAACAATTTGATTTTTTGAAGTCGCCTCCTGCTTGGGAGACCTTTCGGTATTTTTTCACATATATAACCTCCTTTACGTGGTTACCCAAACCACCCCGGCCTGGATACCGGCGTGAATGAAGGGGGCCATTTATTCATCACTTTTTTAGACACTCCACATTTCAATTTTAACACAAAACAACTTTAAACGGAGCCCACTGCTACCACGGAACTCTATCTATACTAATATAAATGTGGAAGTAGAGGGGCGGCCTAAGCAATGAAGCGCCGTCGCCGAGAACGCGACCCGAACGCGGGCAGAGGCGTGAGGGCAGAAGTCGTTGACGGTTGTGTCAGTTTTGCGAATTTTTCAATAGGTAATATAATTCGATTCTCGAAGCTATTCATTACTTAGTGCATTTGGCATATTTTTTCAGTTACTGTAACTATTTGTTTAAAATGGTCACTAAACTTAATGTGACAAACCACATTCGACGTGGCAAAGTCACGGGCAACATCTAGTAGTATATATATTTTATCTGTAATGATAAACTGACATTCCAAGTTGAACATTGCTCAAAATTGTTCCAATCAAACAAATTATTATGAAAAATTAATAAAATTTACACCTCAAATTTCTATATACTTTACGCCGTCTATCATTTCTCCATAGATTACCTTTTCTATATCGAGTATAACAATTGGGAACTTACCTTCGAAATCGTCGTAGTAAGTATACGTTCTAGTTTCACTAAATTTTTCAATATTCCAAAATCCCGATTCCTTGAAAGTTTTTTCCCAACTCTCTTCTGGATTTTTATCAAAAAAAAAATTTGATACATATTTATCATGACCATATTTACCCCATCTTGGATGTTTAGATAAATTCATGAAGATATCATCCAATGGATTCACATCAAAAAATGTAGCTAGTATTTCTCCTCCTGGTTTCAACAGCCTGAAAATATTATCGAAGGCTTGCCTGAAAATAATTAATGTATACATGAATTTGCATGATATACCTACTCTGTAATGGGAGGAGTCGTCATTTCATTCGTAAAAATAAGTAACCAGAAAATTTTTAATTTCCGAAAATGTTTGTGTCCCAAAAGAAAGATTATGCACTTGGTAACCAAGAGTTTTCCCAGAAACATTAGGTTTTTTCGAAAGTTATTTCCGTTTTATGCAGTATTTCAATAGATATTGAAAAATCTACCGAAGCTTGATCGGAATATCAAAAAATAATTACTACTCAAAAAGAATTGAATCATCAAAAAATAAACCTAGAGAGAAATAGGCAATTATTAATGAATCGCGTGGAAAAGGAAGGCTATCTTCATCAGCAGTTATCAACATTGATCTGCATTCTTTGAATAATTTTTACTGCTCTATTGCCGGACAAATAACAGCCACTATAGTACCTAAACTCAACCGCTTAAGTTATCTTGATCAAATTCACTGTCCTGATAATTTCGACTTAACACCCACAAATGTTTGCGAGATAAAACAAACTCTCAAGGAAATAAAAAATGATAAGTCAGCTGGATCGGATGGTATAGGTAGAAGACTCCTTGAGAACCTACCGATACAAGCTCTATTTGTCCTAACTGAGGTAATTAACAAATCTTTTGTGACAGGAGTATTTCCCTCAGGGTTGAAGACATCAGTTGTTTCACCTCTCTATGAAAGTGGAGAGATCACCAACACCACTCTGTATTCATAATTATAGGAATTTTATATGAAGTCTATTAAACATGGTTCCCCTTTACAAGAAACCTGACCAACATATAATGGTAAAGGTTTCTTTAGGAAAAATTGATAATTATTGTAGGGTTTGCAAATATCATTTTCGACATAAAAATTTAAATATGTTAAAAACAATCAGACCCAAATATAAGACATTATGCACAAGAAGTATTTAGATTCTGATATAGAATCCAAAAATTTAATAATATTGTGGTGTTCTATGTGGTGTTCAAAATAACAGAGTTGACAGCTACTTCTAATATAACCGGATGTGCCGTCATTTTGAAAATATATTAGTCGAGTTGCCTCCACCGACTTCAGTATATTGTCAAACTTTCAGATTCTTTCTGATTATAGTTTTTCTACAATCGGTCGATGCAGTTCCTCGAGATTCACCCTGTATAATCTATAGGCGAAGATGAGTGAAAATAAGGTAGATTTTCAGAAGAACCATCGTTTCGACAAACAACAGACATTTTCGGAAGTTTTACTCAGAACGAATACTAGATAAGTGAGTAGTAGAACAAAAATCAAAGATATCTTGAGAATTTTGAAACACTCACCTAGCATTTGTGAACCAGTGAAAACAGTTGAAAGATAGAACGTAGTCGAAATTATTGATCAACTCTTCGGGAACGTTCTCAGTTTGAATGTCGAGTGCAAGAAAATCGAGAACGGGGTAATCTTCTTTGCTATACATCCGCTTCGCAAATCCCACCATTTCTTCTGAAGAATCACTTGCCACATATTTTTCAACATTTTTTGGTAGTTGTGATTGGAGTAATTCAACAGTATACCTTCCATCGCCCGTGCCTATTTCAAAAAATGACGACCCTTCTTTGAAAGCCTGTGAATCTAAATATTTTCCTAGCAGACGTGATGTCTCTCCTGATTGAAAGCGGTTGTTTTTTGAGTATTGATCTGGCTGGTTCATTTCCACTCTGGAAAAAATACTTAGGTTATACATGATTATAATAGTACAGTCATTATTACGGTGTTTCAATGCCAATTTGGAAAATCCACTGCAATATCATACAAGTTAACAAAGTTCTGTCACTGTCTGAATCGCTGTACATGCTGTACCTACAGCGTGTATTGCTCAGGGGTTTAGCAAACCGGCCATCGGATGCCTACTTCTACGTAGCCCCGCTGGATATGGGAATGACAGAATCGTTTGTGGTTCTGTTAATTCCTAACTGAGTGGCATCCCACCGATGGCTTGATTCTAATGTGTGTGTGAATCTGTGCCGTGAGGATGAATGACACTGAGCCTATCAGCTGTCACTACGGAACCTCCGAGATACCGGGCGGCCTCTCGTCGTAGCATCGCCTTGTCAAGGTAATGCGGGGCTTTGCCATGATTGACCTTCTTTCCCTAGCTACTCATGGAACTCGGGGTACCCTATGGAACCGCCTTGCACGAAATTCCTGAGCGGCGTACGTAGAATCTGTCTCAGGTGGAGGAACAAACACACCATGAGTAGGTTAGCAAACGTTTGCGCCAAAACCGAGGCAAAAAAGCCCTGCACAATTGAATCTAAGGCATCGTCAGGTGTAGCTGACGTGCAAAAATCCTCATATGGGAAGGTTGTCTCGGGTATCATGTTGCACCTTGACCATCCGACTACCTCATTAACGATGAAACAGCGGAGCATATACTTTGTGCCTGCCCCGTTGGGGACCGATTCAGGTTTTTAGTTCAGTTCGGCAGAGCTTGAAAGCCTGACCTGAAAGACCACTCACCATACAAAATAATCGGCTTCGGTATAAACCTGGGTTTATTTGGTCGAGTGTGAATAGGTGTGAACCACAATAAACCCTTGCGAGTTGCACTGTAGGGACGAATATATCCACTCACTTTGGACCTAACCTATCCTAAACCTAACTTAACTGAGTTATTGAAAGTCAAATGTCATAATAATCAGCGAATATCTCACAGTATATTGCTCAGAAGTCAATAAACGTTACTCACGAGATTGCTCGTCGCCCGATCACCATGTTTGACAGTAGAACGCATTCTTGCATTTTCCGCGCCACTTCCAAGGTCGAATGCAAAAGAAGGCAGGGAGATGAATACCATGATCATTCAAATTCAGAACATATCAAAATTACTGAGAATTGATCCAAAACCACTACGTGTGGATTGCTCCAAATACCAATCGATCCTAAACTAGTCGTCAGAATTAACAAATTCAAAAGTAGAGAGCTGAATAGTTCTTTATAGTTGTTCATTGAAGGTGAAATCGGGGTTTTTATTCAATTCATTTATTTCCAATGATCCCAACAAATTCATCTTCCTTCCTTTACTGCTCGTATAGAGAATTTTCGTGTTTTCTTTATGAATTTTGTAGCTGACTTTTCGGATTACAAATTTCATCCGAAATTTGTCAACCTATTTGATAAGGAACTCAATCAGAAAAAAATAAGAATTTCAGAGAAAGGACCTAAGACTCCTACAAACAACAAGAAAGGGATCATTGGAGTACAAACCGAACTGATCATCGCAAAAAAGTTCAATATAATAAACAATCTCACTCGCCATAGACACAAATTAGCAAACATTATTTGTAATAAATATAGTTTAAAAAACCAAACAACACCCTTTCACAGAACATCGAACTGAAAAGTTGAAAATATTTTTTCAAGCTTGAAACAATAACGAACGAAAAATAATAGTTTCATTGTGAAAAAAAGCGACGTACGCTTGATATACAAAAAATATGGCACAAAGCATCCACGCTTTTTATACTATATTCATTTCCCATTTTTTAGTTTCGTATGCTATAAAAGCGTGATTTTTAGTCTTCTTCAACTATATTTATTTCATCTAAGCTTTCGAATCAATCAGCCGTATATTGTTTAAAAAAATCACCATTGATATTTTCCGATTCCGGAGAGGAAGCCTGAAAATTAACTACCAAGCCCAAGGCATCAGGCGCCCAAGGAGGGTTACAAATATGGCAGACTCCGAGTTCGAGAGATACAAACAGACATACATACAAACATATGAAGCTAATAAGAGCGTGTTAAAATAATGTCGATATATCATGGAGGTTAAGTACAGCGCCATCTGCCCGCGAATAGATCAAGCAATAATGTCGACAATTCTGTCAAATACAGATCCCGAGCTTGAGAGTTACAAACAAACAAACATACATACAGGTGAAGCTAATAAAAGCGTGTTAACAACATGCCATCTCTCGTTCCAACGGAATTAAGAAAATATGTATGAAAAATCAATTTTTCAGTCAACCAGCTGTCGCACTCCTACGGAAGTCAACCCTCAGAAGTCGAAACAAGTGCGAGCTAAAGACTAACGAGGTCTTACTTTTCAACGTGTGATTAGGCTCCATAAAGAAGGCAATCACCAGACCAGTGGTACCCTACATCGACCCTCCAACCGGTAATTTATCAAAATTTTTGAATTCTGAGTTCAGAGTGCTAACAAATTTTACACCATCAGAAACTGCTGAACTAAATTCCATAATTGTGATGCACCTTGGAACCTTTGGTGTAGTAATTCTATACACCTAGCCAATATACTGACTACCAATAACAAAAATAATAGCATTAAATTAGTATTCTTCGATATGTAAAAATGTTTCCAAATATTTTAACAAACGAATGCCTACCTCTGCTGAAATATATACTAGATAAACAGAATATCAATCCATATATCAGTGAGGAACTAAATAACCTCTTTGATATATGTCAAACAAAATCATTTAAAATATGTACAACAAAAACGTTTACCTTCAAAATTCAGGCCTACCAATGGGGTCAAAGTTAAGTCTCGTACTAGCAGATATTTTTATGAACAACTTAGAGAACACGCGTATCTGAATAATACCTTATCACATAAACAGATTTGGAAATATTGATGATATCCTCGTAGGTCTCGATGGCTCGACAAAACGGATAAACAAAACGGTAGCTTTAACTTTCTTGATCTTACTATCAGAAAAACTAAAAACAAAATCTAGTTCAGCTTATAGAGGGAGACCACTTTTACGGACTGTACAATATCTATGAATTGTTGTTCTTCATCACATAAATTATCTGCAATCAGATCAATGATACTGAAACAATGAGAGCATTTAAGATTCCTTCATCAGAGAAGGCTTGTTATGAAGAAATGAAGATCATAAAGCAGATCGCATCTGAATCATGTCACTCAATTGAGAAAATCATCTCCAACAAAAAACAAAAATGAATCATGAATGAACTATAACACATGGGCTCGAAAGTCTCGAGCCTGTGAAAGAAAACGCATTTTCTCTGTTCAAAATTTGCGTCATTGGCTTCATCCATCAAGAGCCAAACAGTCTCAAAAAAGGCCTCAGTTTCAGTAATAACCTTTTCATTCCAGATGAATGTTTTACCGGTGAGCATTTTTTGAGGTCTGCGAGCAGCCAGTAGTCGCTGGGAGCCAAATCCGGCGAATACGGTGGATCTGGGAGGTATTCGAAGTTCAATTCACGTAATTTTGCCATTGTTTCGATCGACTTGTGACACAGTGCATTGTCTGGATGAAACTTTTTTTCTTCACCATATGCGGTCGTTTCTTTGCAATTTCAGCACTATTGTTGGTATTTCCCTTCTCAAGATAGTCGATAAATATTACACCACGCACATCCCAAAATGCCGAGATCATAACTTTTCCAGCCGATTATAGTGCTTTCGGATGCTTTGGACGAGGTTCACCAGTTGCTCTATACTCAGATGACGATCGTTTTGATTTCGGATTAAAGTTATTGATTCATGTTTCATCCATCGTCAAATATCGATACAAAAATTACGGTTTTTTATGTTTAAACATGGCATAACACTGCTCAGAATCAACAAGACGTTCTTGTTTTTGGTCAACAGTGAGCACGCGCGGCACTCACTTTGAACAGAGCTTTCTCATGGTCAAATACTCATGCAATATGAAGCCAACACGTTTCAGGATGTGGAGTGTACTCCAGATCACTAAACCTAAGGATTAAGTCGAAATAGGAAAAATACCAGCGTGGTTCAAACAGAACTGGCTAGTATCTCAATCGCCACAAACGAAATGACCAGGAAAGCATTTCTTGCCAGAAAATAACAATCTGCACTAATAGTAGACAAGCCCTATTAACCTTGAACAGACAACCTCAGGGCTAGTACTAGAGTGCCACCAAGATGATTTAGCCATAGCCTTGGTAGATGATAACATTATCCTGAGATGGATCAAAGGGCACGACAGGAGTGAACCTAATCGCATTGCCGACTCTTTAGCCAAGGAAGCGGCTGGGCTAAGAATTTTAGGACCCGGTGGCACCTACGGCCTGATGACTTCGACAACTGCAGAACTAGCCAAACGTTACACCCATGCTCAATCCATAAAGAGATGAGATGAAATCAAACAATGCAATCTTACCAGGATCACCCTGGACGACCCTGGGAAGCTGACGCCGAAGAAATATCTGGCGATGTCCAGGAAAAATCTACAGTAGGATTTCTGACTGGCCCCTGTCAACTGAGGAAACACCTCCATAATATGGGGCTAGTGGACACAGGATGTGTGAACAGGAAGATGAAACTGTCAGGCATGTCCTATGCGAGTGCCCGGAGTTATCGTCAATAAGAGAGTCTGTGTTCGGCGAGTCTTGGCCTACACCTGCCGATATAAAGGAGATGTCTCCCAGTGACCTGTCCACCTTCCTGGAAAGGACAGGATGGACGATGACCTAGGAGGAGAACTCCTCGGGAGGATGTACAATGGGTCACATATGGCCACGCTGTGGGCCTACACTCACTCTCCCTAATCTACAGATACAGAAGCAAACACGTTCTTTCTCATACAACTTCAATTTTCGATCATTCGAAAAGATTTTGTGGATTTCTTTATGTTTTCTGGTATTACTGCCTCATTTGAACGTCCACTGCTTTCTGCACAATCGGTATCTCTATGACCACGTTGAAGTCAGCAAATCAACGTCCAATTGTAGTTTTTGATGAAGCGGAGTCCTTATAACACTTTTCAAGGTATTGTTTAACTTGAACGGTATTTTTTACCATGAAGAAGCAGAGTTAAATTGAACTATGTAGTAAGAAAGCACAATAACTCCCAGACTTATGTGTCGAATATCATTAAATATCAACGGCTTTCTTTTGAATTTTAGTACTAACAGAAAAAGCGGTGAATGCAAGACTAGCACCATCTACGTGTTAGACCCGAAACTTTCCAGCCCATTTAGTATGTAAATCACTAAGAACCTAAAGAAGCTAAGAGGTATACTAGCATAAGCTATTCGGAAAAGCTTTCCGAAACCATAAACAACTATTTTCCAAAAGTTAACATAATTACGTCATTCACTAGTGAGAATAATTTGAGGAACATGTTATTCTACGCAATACCCAAGAGAAATAGGTAGAAAAATCGGGCATATATTGAGTAGAATGTGGTGACTGTTCAGCAGCTTATACAGGCCAGATAGGTAGAAATTTCAACTCATGGTGCCGTGACCATATATTGTCAGATAAAAAATCAGCTATATATGTACATCTTCAAGAAACAAACCACACATTAAATGAAAAAAACATGAAAATTCTCCATACGTGCAGTAAAGGAAGGGGGATTAATTTGTTGGAAGCATTGATAATAAATGAATTGAATGAAAACCTCAACTTCCAAACTATCAATGAACAAATATAACCATGCAGCTCTCTCCTTTTGAATTTGTGAATTTTGACAACTAGTTTGAAATCCATTGGTATTTGGAACAATCCATGAGTAGTGTTTTGGGATCGATACTCAGTAATTTTGATAATGATAATAATAGTTCATTAGTTCTTCAGGTTAAGTTTAGCATAATATAGAACAAGTCAGTATAGTAGAGTATCAGTTATGAAAAAAAAATTATAAGATAAATTGATTATTTAAAATATTTTTCAGAAATAATGGTCAATATAATTAATATAGTTATTGATGTAACTGAGTGCAAGAAAGCATGTAAAATGACTCAAAATAATAGTAATGGTGGCTAATTATTCGGTATTGGTTCTTATGACTATTTCTTACATAAACAACAGAACAAGTCATGTGTCAGAAAACAGCTTGTCCACGCGTATTTTCAATAATACAAATAAGACACTCAAATCATAAACAGATTGCAGATCATACATAAGAACATCTAAAAGCAATATGAAAACAAAGTGGTTTGATAAAATATAAAATATGCATCCATACATCAAATCAGTTAAAATCTGTGTCTCCCAGATACTCACTTATAGAGTAGGAAGCTTTTTTTAATAAGATATTTTTGACTACTATTTTAAATGTATTCAAAGGAAGATCTTTGTAGCAGTTCGGTAGATGATTAAACAAGGTTATTGCCATGTATTTTGGGCAACGTTCTGTTTCTTGGAGACGGTGATTCGGCACTTCCACGATTGCTGAATTTCTTGTGTTATCTACTGTTTTCCAGCGCCGTGAATGAGGTCAGCTCTGTTTTGGCATATGTTATCGATGTTGAATAATCACTGTTTTGGTATCTCAGATAAGGTTTGATGATTCAGGTAACATTTTCGTTATTTCAGGTCTAGGTTTGATTAACCTTCCTAAATGGCATGAACTATATTGCTCTATATTTGAAGATATGTTTGCCAAACTATGTCAGTTCATTTGAAAATGGTTCAATGAACAGAAACCGGTCGTAACGCAAACAAATCTTGGTAGAAATTAGACAAAAATTATTTTCTCTGTCCTTTATCTGAACAAAATGAATAGAGGTCATGAATCGAACAAGTTAGATCCGTTGTGGAGGTATTGAAATGTTTGGTATGGAACCAGATTGGAAAGTAGGTTAACAGGAAACACAAAGAGAACTCAGAAAATATATGTGAAAACTCACATGGAAAAACTTCATAAAAAGACTACCTGAGAAAATAATGGAAGAGTAGCTTCTACAAAGCAGGGATTGAGACCGAACAATTACAGAGCTACTCATGGAGACCTTGATGGCAGGGATGGCAGGGGGCGAAAAATTCATGGACAATCTATATTAAGTTCAGAGGAAAATGGCAAACAACCAAGGACCTGTACAAATCAGTACAGACAAACAGATATGGTTCTTAAACGGAGAATAGACGCAATGGGCCCTTGAGGTTGCAATGTTCTCCATTAACTTAGAAGAAATGGACTCCAAGAACTGCAAAATAATGACTGAAGATGTGAATATGTGGCCGTTTATAAGAAATGATTTGATTCAAAATATCATGAGATCCATCACTACTAGAATATTTCTTCTGAAAAGCACAATATTGCAAACTTGAAAAAGAAAGATTTCGTCAAAATGGAATATTTTATTTTCTCATAGGAAATTTTTGATTTCAACACAATAAATAAGTTCTAGAAGTTCCTTGATCACTTGACCTCACCGATAAGATACATTGATGATCCTCTACAACTCCAAGATAACGTAACCTAAGAAGAGCTGATATTATCGGTAATGGGAAGGAAATAAGCAGGGAGGGCTGGAAAATTTTCGAATTTTTTTCTTACCAAACGAAGAGTTCACATGAAACCCTTTGTTATCGAAATTTCGAGAGATTTCTATTCATAAAAATTATACTGTACAACTATATTACATTTGCACTTACCAATTTCATTCCTAATGTTCTGGATACTCAAGATATCGGAATGATCGACTACTACACCCAACGAGCTTTTAAGAAGGTTCCAAGTCGACTATACATCACAATAATCATTTATTTTTCATCAATCAAAAACCACTTTATAACCTGTAATTTGGGCATAACTTCTATCTTGTTTTTTTTTGGAGTCCGCCGGATTATCTGAAATACGCTTTAACGGTGTTTAATGTGCAATTTGAAACTGTTGATGAGGAAATATTCCCATGATTAGAGATAAAGAGAATTACAATTCGATGTTTAATGGAGATAGATGGGCATTTAATTCTGAATATGATCATTATAAACCATTGATTGGTTGTTGAATTGCTCCAAAGTGTTTTGATTTCGTATTGAAAACGACTTGCTTTAATTCAAAACGGGTTCAGATGTAGTAAATAGAAAGCTATCAAAAAGCGATACATGTCGATTTTCATTTGAGAGAAATGTCACTCTGGCTGTCGAGAAAAGTATTATCAACGAATAAATATTCATAATGATAGGTTAATAGTGATTGATTTTTTTTTGGTTTTTTTTTAACTCGGTAAGCAACAACTTTCGTCGTTTACTAAATATTAAAAAAGGAGTCATCACTATTATCATGTCATTATGACCATTCATTCATTAATAACATGTGACAATTTTTTTTCTCCATTTTAAAATATTTTTTCTCCGTAATTTTAAGTAACTAGCTGATGATGAACCTTTATAGGTTCGAAACATGTACAGATTGATGATTTTACCGTTCTAACATCTGAGGGTGATAATCAATTGTGGAGACGATTTTGAGTTTTTATTATTCACAAAGTTATATTTGCATTTGAACAAGAATCCACCTGAGGTGTTGAGAGAAATTCCTATACATTGATATATGGAAACTCAACAAAATAGTCAACCCAAATTCATAAAACTCGAATAATTATCTCTGTATCTGTAGAGTAGAGAGGGTGAGTGTAAACCCACAGCACTTAGGCCACATGTGACCCATTGTACATTCTCCCGAGGAGTTCTCCTCCTAGGTCATCGTCCAACCTGTCTTTTCCAGGGAGGTGGACAGGTCACTGTCCACCCTTAACCCTTAGGCTTAGTGATCTGGACATCCTGAGCCTTCTTTCGTTTTTTGTGCCGTCTGTATATTATGCGTATTGCATTTGCAGCATCTGACTCTGTGTTCTGCTTTACTTGTATTTTGTAGGGTTCATTAAACACAAACCTGGATTCAATTGGATCACTTGTTGCCTGCAGCAGAGGTTGCGCAATAAGCGCTTCCCGCCATAGGCCCAGCCTCAATTGATCCATTCCTACTTCGACGTTTACACCAGCCGTGCGCAATCGTACAATGGCCATTGAGGCATCCTCCTTAAGTACAAGTCCAGAGGGGTCAGACCCGTAATTAATTCCATTGCCGCGATTGGTGTTGTTCGCCTGTGATGTTTAAACAAGCCAGTCGCTGTTTTTGATATAATTTTTTTATGGCCTTTGCCATCATGCAATGGCCATGCAATGGCACCGTATGTTAACGTCGGTCTTATTATTGCAGTGTAGATCCAGGTGACCATACGGGGTTAAAGACCACATGCGCGTCCCACTGTCCTCTGGCATTGCTCATAAGCCACGTATGCTCTTTTTGCTCTACTCTGTAGATGAGAGTTCCATGTTAGCTTCCTGTCGAGGATTTCACCTCTTCGGAGGAGTTCAGTTTGCTTTTGAAGATTTCGGGAGGTTTTAAGCCCGTTAAACTCATTTTCCTGGTGAAAAGGACCATCTCAGTCTTCTTAGGGTTGATCGACAGTAAGTATTCCTTACAACATGTTTCTATTAATTTGAGCCCATCCTGCGCTCTATCGCACAGTGTGTTTACAAATTTGCCGGTCTGCAAGATAACTATGTCATCTGCGTATGCAATTGTGTAGAATCCATTTTTGTTAAGGTGATTAATGAGGGTATCCAGAACTATGTTCCAGAGAAGGGGTGATAAGACCCTTTTCTGTGGACGTCCCCTCATGACCAGTCCTTTCACTGTGACGTCTTCTACATTAATACTTATTGCTCTACTAGAGAGCATATTGAGTATCCATATAGCCGGGGTGGATTCTTTGTTGTCCAATGATCTCCCGATTTTGCCAACCATATGGTGGAGGGCCGAATCAGTAGATCTTCCCAGAGTATATGCTTGTTGATTTGGATGAAGTGGGTTGTGAACTAGTACTTCATCTCTTATGTACCGCTCACATAACGGAATGCTTTTGGTAGGGTATAGTCCATCCTACCTGGTTTGGGTATAAATGCTACTGTTACTTCTTTCCACTTACTGGGAATATACCTCAGAGCAACAGAGGCTCTGAATATTCCAACCAGGTGCGACATAAGAATAATTAATAAAACAAACTTTTTTTTAATTCAAATTTCATAATATGAAGGAAACATTTATGATTTCTACTTACAAAATAACTGAACAATATTACTATTTTGTACTTATTTCATTTCCTCATTAAGAATGATACTGATTGAATGTTTGAACTCGATTGTTGGTGTCGAATTTGTTTCATCTGTTATCTTTTTTTGGGTTTTTTTCCTTAGTTTTTGAATTGATTGGAAAGTTCGACCTTTTCGATTATAGTATGTGAGCTCTTGTTAGGTTTTTATAATTTCTAATAAGAAGATGTAAAAGTCAGTTCTATTTTAGTAAGTTATTATATACTTGATTGAAGTTTTTGATATCGCTTCTATTATTGATACTATTGGGATCTTTTTTTTAAGTGGATCATTTCAAGGAAATTTCTAACTTTTGGATTTCGTTCTTTGGTGAAAATTCCAACCTTGTCAAAGTCGAATTTATGTTCATATTCTTTTTCATGTTTGGACAAGACTGTAATGTGATTTTTCGAATATTTGTGAGCTTGTATTTGTTTTTGTACGTGTTGTTTGGATTGACCTATATAGGTACTTTTACAATCTTCATTCCAAGAATAGATTAATATTCCGGAGAGGTGCATATAACATGCTCCAGATTTAGGTGAAAATACCTTACCCCTTACCTATGACTTTCCAGGTACGTGTGGCAGGAGCTAGGGGTAAGGTGAAAACACCTTACCCCTAGCTCCTCTTCAAGACCTACTACTTCTTATAATTTATAGGTACGTGTGGCAGATACCCAACGGAAAAACAACAACTAACCCAGCTGATTCCTCGCAGGTAGTTGAAGTAAAAGTAAACGAAATTAATTTCTGCTTTCCATGGTGAAAAATAACTTGCCACGAATCTTTCAAATCGAAGACGTTGCACAGGCGCCTGATGGTTTCACTTCAACAAGGCAGTGAACTTCATTTCATAATATGTAGTGGAGTAGGGGCCTTCATAAAATATGTCCATCTTCTGATGAATGTCAAAAAAACATAAACATATTTTTCATTTATTATTTTGATACAACAAAATACTGACTGATGCAGCCTCGGATACTAAAAATAAATAGAAACATATTAGAGATAATGAATCCTGTTAACTTTATTTCAGAACCTATACTTTCACTCGACGAACTCGTAGATCACAAGACTCTCTCTGATGGCTTTGATGTTTGCACAAACACTATATCGCTTCTAAATATTCCTTCTCTCTTTCCAGTTTTCTCGTCTCTGGTAATAGTGAAGGCTTTTCCTCTTTCAACCTCTTCAAAATAATCATTGAGGTAGGCTTTTTTATCCTTGTCTGGAATCTTCGAGTACACCGAATCTAGAGCTTGAAAAAAACCTGAAAAAGTTATGTTTGTTCTATCATGATCACAGTTTCATTTCATTTTTTTCAAATATTGTATAACAAAAAATATACCTAAAACTTTTCTCAGTCCCTTTGCGAATATTTTTTCAATGGAAACATGAAACAATGGAGAGATATGAAGTCCATGGACCCAATAACATAATGAACAACTTAATGATCGAAATTCAAAGATTCAAAATTCCGTATGAGTCAGAATAATTCTTATGAATCATACCTTCGAAATCGGTGCAATGCCAATTTATTTCAAGATCACAAAATTTTACTTCATTCACGAATCCCGCTTCTGTGAAAATTGTCTCCCACATCTGTAGGGGATGGTTGGACAAAGCAATTCTGGAATCGCAAATTTGGTGGCAGTAAACTCCCCATTTGTGATGTTTCGATAAGTTGGTGTATATGTCATGAAGTGGATGTACAATACAAAATGTGGCAATCAGTTCTCCTCCAGGTTTCAGCATGCTGAATATATTTTTGATAGCCTTTCTGAAATGAAAATGAAGTAAAAAAAGTGGACGATGACTTCATTTAAGTGAAGCAAAGCTAATTAGCATTGATGAAAATATTATTTTGAAAAGTCATCATTTTGGATAGACCTTTACACAATCCTCCAAAAAATGATGAAATCAATATTATTCATCGGAAATTAACGCCGAAATTTTTCCATTTCGAAGGAAAAATGAAGTTTCAAAAATGCTGTAACGTCACTACCTAAATTTTTGGAACCCCTTATGTTTGTCTAAATGAGACACTATTATCGTGAGTCAAAAAGTGTACTACAAAGTACATTCAATTTGGTTATGTAACCAACGCAAATTGGCTGAATTAAATTTTAACTGAACAAGAAAAAAATACAATCAAAAAATAGTGCACAATAAAATGATTACCAGAATCTGAAATGCAGAAGAAAACCAGTTTAGAGCGAAGTAAAAATGCATCCATATTCGGGGTGTCCTCCCCTGTTCTATAGTAAGGTGTCAGCGTGCATGGAAGCAACACGGGCATTAATGGTACCCATTGGGACGTTGGTCCATTTTTCTTGGGCCGCGAGTGTCTGTTCCGGGGTATAGAATATTAACTCTGTTTGAGATTGCTCGTTCAACGAAATCCCACATGTGCTCAATGGGATTCATATCTGGTGAATTTGCTGACCACGGTTCTAGTATATTGATTTAGTGGACCACTCGGTACTTCAGTTTATATTTGAGGACGACAGTTTTTTAGAGGAAAAAAACAGTAGGTATCAGGGGGAGTATGTAAACCTTCCTTATCGATATCGATAAGGAAGGTTTACATACTTCACCGGAAAAAGTAATGGCTATTAAAAATGCTCCGAAGCCAGAAANTCCAGAACTTGGATATGTGTGGAAGAGATATTTGAATCAAATAAAAAAATATACTTTCGAAGAAGCTTCTCTACCAATGCAAGTATATAGTGAGACAAGTGATTCAAACGCCGTTTCCATGCAACTCAGACAAGAAACAACGGAGAATTTAGACAGTGAGAGTAGTTACAAGGAAGTACTAGAGACCTCCCATTCACCTCAGCGTACAATGGCCAATGTAAGACCAAGACGTGAAAAAAAACCATAGATCGGTTAGAATATCGAAAATGGTAATTTTTTTTTGTCTAGTTTTTTTTTTAGGGAGGAAATATTGTTGTATATTGATTTAGTGGACCACTCGGTACTTCAATTTCATTTCGGAGAGGATAAATAATAGGTTCAATGATGTTTCGAACATATATATCCCCTGTCATAGTATCTGGAATGGGAATAAGCTGCGTACAACGACCATGAAGTATGCCTCCCCAAAACATTACTGATCCTTCTTGGTATGGAACGACTTCTCCAGCAAAAGATAGTCTTCGTTATCGCCCTGGCCCCCTCCAAAGTCTGTGCCGTCGACTATCACTAACTTAACCAAATCTGGTTTCGTCTGAAAAAATGACATTTCACCACTGAGCTGAAAGCCAGTCTCTGTATTCTTCTTAAATGAATTCGGACTGCCGAGACTGTTATGATTCGATTTCGATGTGCATATTCTGCTAGATACATCCATATCCAAATGAACTATTCGGATAACTGAATCGCTGAGAATCCTTGATCTTTCCGCGATTTGATGATTCGGCAGACCCTCATCATGCAAAGCCACTATTCTTGCTCTATGGAACACTGAAATTCTATTGCCAGGCCTAATTGCAAGGAAGAACTCACAATCACTCAAACACGCTAAATCGATATGAACCACTTTTTGAACATTGGTATCCAAAATTAGAGGAAATTGTTTTTGTAAACATTTTTTCATGCCTAGCACAGGTGAAAAAAATAGAATGTAAAAAAAAACAGCCATGATAAATATTTTGTTTCACAATTTACGAGGGAGGTCCAAAAGTTTTGGCGATGTGTGTATATGAAAAAATACATGAATGAATATACGACATATTCATTCAATAAGATAGATATGATATCGAGCAGAAAGTTATCAAGGAGATAGCTGAAAAAAAAAGTATCTTGTACAAGTGTTTCCTAACTACGGTACGAAAGTTTGGTGGGTGATTCCTCAGGTTGTTTCAAGAAAAAAAGTTCCTATGAACGTATTTCCGGAGTTACTTCGTGTCTGAAATGCAGGGCGTTAATGTTATAAAAGCGATATTTATAAAATGTCATAAATATCCTTGCACTGGTTTTGTTGAAATTTGCTACAGTTATTTGAGGTAACAAGGCGTCAATTTAGCGCTAACTAGATTGAATTTATTAGGTCCAGTGGCGTCTCAGTGGACACCACAGCCAAAAATATTGAGAAAATAAAGAACGACACTGACTTTCCTTGTAGTTTTTTATTTCCTTAAATCGACAAACTGAAAATACAACCTTATTGTTGCTTGTGATTTCTTCATATCAAGCTTAATTTTCAAGAAAAAAAATCAGTTCTAAAAACTATCCATAGACAATATAAAATTAAAACCAAAAGTAAATACTGAACAATTTCGACCTTATAGTGAATGTGCGAAATGTCTACCTTCTGATACAATAAACGACTGCAGTCGATTTGTCATTGATTGTCTAACACGTTCAATAATACCTGGAGTATTCCTTATGACATTGCAATTGTCAATTATTCGATTCCTCAAGTCATTCACATCTAATACAGGAGTTTTATGAAAAAGAGCCTTCAAATGACACCATAAATAGAAATATGGAGGATTCATATCAGGACTGCGAGCTGGTCAACCAGAGGTAACATCACCAGTCGAAGGCAAATGAGATTTTGCCGTCACGTCGTGAAACCAGTCCCAGTGAAGATAAGAAAAAACACTAAAAACCCGAAAAACCAGTTCATCATATTTCATCCGTGAGAATCACAGAGTTATCATTGTAAACCCTCACGAAAAGAGAAGGTCAAACGAGAAGAAGAAACTCAGGTAAACATGAAAATCCATACCAATATAGTAAGAGTTAGATTTCTGTAAGAGCAAGCTAACTCTGAACAAAAAATGAGAACTAACCTAGGTAAATATCAATAAAAATGATAACAATAATACTGAACAGCTAGACTCATCCTGATGAATTTTGTGTTTGTGGATTTGTCTTCGTCAGGAATGTGATAATAAGTATTGAACTATGATGTTTTATCGATGAGAATTATAATAATGAAAGAGACAAAACATCTGATATTTCCCGACAAAGCCGTGATACAATTAGGGTTCGTAATTTTGACAATGCTTCATTGTTGGTGAAAACTTGGAAAAACGCTATATTGTATATAAATGTATGTAAATGTTTGTGGTAAAATGGTATTCGTTACGTGTTCAAAGATAGAGATAGAGTGTCCATAAACAGTCTACTACCTACTACTTAAATGTTGTTGAGTTTTACCTGAGTTCTTCTTCTTCTTAGTTGACCTCATCTCCCCGTTAAGGTATCTAATGTTAAGTCTGAAGTTCTCACGGATAGGATTTGTCTTGAGTTGTTGTCCGAATCACATCAGTTCTGTAGATTTACGGAAACCAAAAAAATGGATCCAAGAAAGATGTAGTTTCCTTCCAGTTGATGAAATCGAAGAGGTTTACATCTATTCTACGAAAAAAAAAACTCTACATGTTCGTACTCACCTGGTATTTGTGAACCAATGAAAAACGTTAAATGAAACAACGTGATCGAATTGTCCTATCAAACCAGCCGGTATGTCATCTGTTTGACAGTTCAACACTATGAACTCAATTTTGGGATACTTTTTGCTGTATTTTTTCTTGGCAAAATCTATCATTTCTTCAGATGTATCGGAAGCGACATATCTCCGTATATTATCTGGCAATTGTGGTTGGAATTTTTCAACAGTATATTGTCCATCGCCTGTTCCTATTTCTAGGATAGCCCCTCCATGAATCCAAGTTTTTGAATCCAAGTATCTATCGAGGAGCTGAGATGTTACGGTCATTTGACCAGTGTTGTTTCTGGAGTAAATATCTGGCTGGTTCATATCTTCAAATTAAAATAAACGCATATAAAAATCAAATGCATAATAAACTTCTAGAAGAATAACTGAGAGTTTTTATTTCTTGAATAAATTGTCATTTGGAAAGACAGTTTTCGAATCTCGGAAAACGCAGGTGTAATTGATTACTGTAGTTGAGGTTAGGTTAAAATAGGTTTTGTGGTCAATCAGCTATCGTTCTCATTTGAATGACAAACCTCAAAAGTAAAAACCCGTGCGACCTTAAGATTGAGTCGTACAATCTCCAGAAGTCCCTCAAGCAATAAGCTTTCAATTGGTTACAAAATAAAAATTGTAATGAAGACTGGAGTTCAACTATCCATCAGCATCTTATTTTGGTATAGTTAAAGAATTTTTCGTATACAGGGTGATTCAAAAGTACTTTGACAAACTTCAGGAGGTGATTCCTCACAATATTCTAATATGAATTGTCCAAATAAATAAATGTCCG